TGTTGCCTCATGGTGTCATCGAACTTGTTTTCTTATTCTGTGCCTTTCCTAGAAGTTAAAAACTAATACTAAAAACTTGGAGATTAAGATTGAAATTTTTGCAAGGATGTTCTCCAGAGGGTAGTGTGTCGCTGCTTCACATGTTACATCATGTGTATTGTACATTATGCCAGACTTTCCCCCCTTTTATGACATGTTTTTGTTTGCCCAGTGGTGACTGTAACCACTGGATTTTTCCAGTGTGACTGTAAATTCTTTCCTCCTTTATAATTAACAGTAAACTGGGATGAGACTCTGACCCTCTGTAACTAACTGGTCTTCATCACCTCTTCAAATTCTAGATTTGGCATCCAATGATGATTTTTGCATGAATCAATCATGTCAGAATACTAAGGGTAATTTTTAACTATTATTTCTTTTAAAAGGTTAACCTGACATTCTCATATTAAAACAAAAAACATAAAAATAAAAATAAGATCTTTTTTTCATGAAGTGTGAATGAATTTTAATTGCTTCTAACAAGGCTAAATTTTCCTTCCCTTTAACAAATTTCCATGTAAGAATTTGGTATAATGGTGAGTTATAATAGTGACAACTTGGTTTTCTCCTGCATGCACACAATACACACACAAATCATTAATATATTTTGTTTATTTTATATTTTACATTTAATTTTAATCAGTGTTACACTTAATATCTATATTACATTGTCAGAAATTATCTAGGAAAATTTATCCTTCTGTAAAGGTTAATGCCTACTTTTCAGAAATGCAATGTTAAGAATTTCCTTGTGGATATATATATTTAATATGTTGGTGATATTTGCAATAGTAAGTCCTCCAATTATGTGTTTATAACTTCTAACTTTTGAAACACATTACCCCACTAAAAGTCTTTTTCTATAAATGCCATATTTTATTCTCTACCTTGAAAATGATTAATCCATTCATTAAGTATATACACCTATTACCTGAAAGATTAAAATATACTGCTGATTTCTATTAATTTTAAAGACCCATAACTTGCATGCAAATTTATTTTTTTTACCTCAAATATTTATCCAAATCTTTAGGTTTACTGAGAACTATTATTAATTTGATAACACTAAATCAGCATCAATTTTGTATTTTGTAACTTTGCAATTGAAGTGCAATGATGTACAGTTATATTTCTAAGGTGAGCTTTCTAAATGATTGATTTCTAAAGTATATACGGTCTTTTCCAGGAAACACAAAGATTTTCCCTTGAGGGTTGCTAAAACAGAAAATGTGGCAGTGTACCATTTTCACAAATGAACTTTTATTAAGAGTACACTTCCAAATAATAATTTATATTCAATTGTAAAATACAAATAGTGTGGTTTTTAAGGCACTGACTTGGATGGAATCAGTCACCTCCATTAGTCATGGGTGTTGATGTTTTAAAACATTATTGATTGGTTAAAGAAAAAGGCATCGTGGGTCCATAATTTATCTTATTAGGAACACTGCGTAGGTAAAAGCTTTTAAAGTAGTGCTTCACTGAAGAGAATCTATTTTTAAAAGACTGATTTTAAACTTCTCTTCTAGTGCATCTGTTTATAACACCTGGGACCATTTGGTATATAATTGAAAATATGTCTTTTTAAACCAGCTTTTAATAAATGGATTCTTCTTGTTATTTGATGATGGTCGGCAAAAGTGCATCACTTGGTGCACCAAAAATAAAGTGGATATAATAATGCCACACAAAACAGACTTGTAGGCTTAGCTAAGGAGAATTTGGGGAAGCCTGCTTTCCAGGTGCGGCTGCATCCTGATACTTGGTGTTTGGTGATCATGTTATACAGCAAAAATGTCTTTCTCATGTGCCATTCATCCTCTCCCTCTCTCCTACACCTCTCTTCTATCAATTACTTCACATCATTAACAATATTTTATAATCATTATTATAATGTGAAGAGTTGTATGTAAATATACAAATTTGAAGAGCTGCACATGTGTATTTAATAGGAGGTCTGCATCTATAGCTGGTAGGGTGGGATCTGCTTAAGTGTGTGTGATCTGTTACCCTACCACAGACAGTACATTATGAGTTCAATTGTACTTCACTCAAAATTCCTATGTTGATGTATTCACTCAAGGAACCTCAGAAAATTAGCTTATGTGACAGGAAATGGGTCATTTCAGGTATAATTATTAACAGTTAATGTAGGTCATGCTGACGTAGACTAAACACTTAATCCAGTATGATTGATGTCTTATTTTAAAAAAAGGAAATTTGGGCACAGCCCAAATCCAGTAAATACAGGGAGAATTCTATATGAACGTGAAAACAACCATTTATAACCAACAAAAGCTTAGAACAGATTTTACCCTCACAACCCCCAGAAGTAACCAACTCTACCAACAAATTCATTTTGAAAATCTAGATTTCAGAATTTGGAGACAATACATTTCAATTGATCAACACACCTAGATTATAGTACTTTGTTATAACATCCCTAGAAAACTAATAACCAGTATGATTGCATATGTACAAGAGTGCCTTGAATGAAAAGTCAATGTACTATATTTTTAATAAAGTATACAAGCAAAAATAACTGACTTTCTATAATTCACTTGTTTGCAAGGCAGTGATTCCAATCTGGATTGATGCTTGTTAGTAATAACTTACCCACTTTTATTATATTATAGACATAGCCATATATGCCTCCATATCACTGAGTGTGATTGTATTTTGAAGTGACTGAAGTTTAAATGTCTGATATTTGCCCAGCCTGAGGGAAAGAGTATTATGTCCAGGAAGCTCTTGCTATGGTGTTCAGGAGCATCGCCTACAGATGAGACCCGGGACTGCCAACTCCACAGATCGTCTCAGAATAGCTTTCTTTTCACTGTGTTAATGGTTGTCTACACAGCTTAAAATATAGTGTACATGCATCCTTTCTATATAATTGACCAATGTAATTCAATGATTTAATGACAGTTCCATTGTATGAGATATAGCATTAACATTACACTGTCACTTTTTCTCATATTGACAAAACCCATTTTTTTGTGATTTTGCTTCTACTTGAACTCTATGATGCAAATTTTACCTTCTATACTGAAACTTCACCTTATGAATACACAAGGTAAAGATGTTGGGTATACCCTGGTGTCATAGTTAGAAGCAAAATTATAAATAATAACTTTTCAAATTCAAATTTACATTTCAGATTACGAGTTTTTTAATGTTCCTATTAACACAAGATGTGTAAGTTAAAACAGTTTCATTTACAAAACTTTAGTTTGTGATGTTTAGAACAATTGTTTAAAGAACACATAAATTAGACGTGTATTTGCTAATTTTTAATTTGAGATGAAAATTATTTCTAGTCTTCTGTGATTGTTAATCCAGTCTCAAAATTATACAATAAGCCTTTTAACTATTTACAGCCTTTTCCTCTGTAATTTTCTCTTGGGAGGCTATTACCCAATAACCTAAAACTCAAGCGTCAAAACTTCATCTTATATTAGTCTTCTCCATTCTCAGCATAGAGAAATCATGGATATCAAAGAAAGCATCCTCCTCCCTGTCCAGTCTTAGAATTGATAAACTTCCCAATTTTTCTCTATAAGGAAAATATGACACATTTCTATTTGGGCAAATGAATGCCACTCTCAAATTTGAATGCTCTCATTCTAGGGCGTGCATGGTGTGCATTTGCTCTAATGTACAAATGTTGGCACCTTCAGAAGTACTTAGATTCACTGTGGTCACATTCTTTCATTCAGAGTAAGACCTATTAGGTTTCCACATGGCCTTTTTGCATAGGTACACAGAGTGACAGCAAGCTTCAGTAAATGCTAATTGCCTCTGCGTTAGGAAAAAATTATCTCTATTCCCTTCTCCCCCAAATCACTCAGCTGAGACAATCAAATTAAGCATTGATTATTATGATAACCAAAGGTTTTGCATTCAGAAACAAAAGGTATAAATCAAAATGAATGGAACCAATCACCATTTTCTCCCTTCTGCTAACCCCCCACGGTCATAAATTAATATAGTCTCTTAGCTATGTCTTCTGATTGTCACTAAATTCTGAGGGAGTACAGTGTTTGCTGAAATGAAGTGATTAACCTTTGGGAAAATTTGCACAATTTGAATTTTACATACATTGTAATAAATGCATTTCTTTCTGGGGGGCAGACACTATGTGAATAAGTCAAAAATAAGACGACCGGATTGGTTTAAATGTACACAAAGGTAAAGATGGATGTATCATCTCCCTAGGATGCCGTGACAAAATACCAAAAACTGGATGGTTTAAGACACAGAAATTTGTTTTCTCAAACTTCTTGAGGCCAGAAGTCTAAAGAACAAGGTGAACTTAGGGCTTGTGCCTGGGAAAACTTTCCCCGGGAGGTGCACAGGACAGCTGCTTTCCTGCGTGTTCACATGACCTCCACTTATGCAATGAGTGAGCTCACTTGTTTCTCTAAGAACAACAATCTTACGATATCGGGGCTCCACCTTTATAACCTCATTCAAACTTGATTAAGACGTCATAGAGTTCTGGACTCCAAATATAGCCATATTGGAAGTGAATGTTTCAATATATGCATTTTCAGTTGATGTCAGCAGGGACGATGGATGCACTTTTCCTTTTAATCTCTCTTACGGGCAAAACAAGAGGTTACCTCATAATGCCTTTGTTTTCTTCTTCATGTCTCTAGCTGGCACAAAGGTATTTTAAAGACTTTCTATTCACTTGCAGGACTTACAGAGAATAACTCAACTTAAGTCTAAAATGATGTCTTAGTCATTGCTGCCTGCTATAACAAAAGTGCCATAGTTTGTAATTATTCATTTATTATTGTTAGGGATTCATTGGTTGCATTTTTTAGGTGAAGTCCCTTTTTATAATTGTGTCCTGCTCTTTCCTCTTTCCTGCTCTTTGCTCTTCCCTCTCCCCACCCCACACCACGCACTAGGTCATTAAGTGTCCTTATATCAGAATTGAGTACATAGGATTCAAAAATATGGAATGCTTCACGAATTTGCATGTCGTCCTTGCTCAGGGGCTATGTTAATCTTCTCTGTATTGTTCCAATTTTAGTGTATGTGCTGTCGAAGTGAGCATGCCATAGCTTAATTATAACCAACAGAATTTTATTTCTTGCAATTATGAAACCTGGAAGTCTGCATTGCCAGGCAGGTAGAGTTCCGGCAAGGTCCCTTTTCTGAATTTTATATTGCATACTTCTGCTGTATCCTCACATAGAGGAAGAAGGTTGGAGAGCTCTTTGTGGTCCCCCTTATAATCACAGAAATGCCATTCATAAGAGGTGAGCCCTCATGATCTGGTCTACAACTCCTAATACCAGCACATTGGGAATTATCATATTGACATACAAATGTCGGGGGTCAAAAGCATTTAGTATGTTAACAAATAACATGACCACACAAGACTTGAAAGTATCCATATTACAATGAAAACACAAGTTGACTGAGAGAGTGCATTTTAACTTTGAGAAAAACACTGCTTGTCCTGTGTTCACACTTGTGACATTCATTCTTGTACTCGATCAACACAAAGGATATTTTCTATGCTTAAAAATTTTTATATATAACTTAAGGAGCACATTTGTTTAAGGTTAACTATTTGGCAGTTGAATGCTGCAAAACACAAAAGGAAATATCCAAAGAAATTAAAGAATTAGAGGTCATTTATATGTTAAGCAGTTGCTGCACAGTATAAGGTTATTTTGCTTCACAAAGCAGCAAAATATATTAACATATTGTGCACTTTCTCTCCTTTTTATATCTATGAAGGGGAACCCACAGACAATGAACTTTTAGAAAGAAATCCCCTGCATAGATAGATTGAATAATAGGTCATAGAGGCATCAGGGATCTTACATTAAAAATAATTTCAGTAAACCAGATATGAATTAATAAATCAGAAATGTCACAGCAAGATTGCATAGGAAAGAATGAATATGAAATACCTTTGGAAAAAAGAATGTAGTCACACAGATTCAATGATAACTTAATGTAGTGCAGAACCAACCAGTTGAAGACTTTGATTTTTTGTTGATAGTTGATAGTTGATAGTTGATAGTTGATAAAAACTCCCTTAGGTTGCTAGCGAGGCTTGAAAAGACAGTGAATTCAATAATACTTTCAATTAGTAAGCAAGTGTACAAAGTATTTATTCTTTAATGATATTTCCAAATGGAACTTACATAGCCCCAGGAGAGGGAGATATCAAATAAATAACTTCATAAGTAATCATTTTATTACAGTTTTAATGTGTGTCTCCAGGTAAAATGTGATACCATTGCAGCAGTATACAACTAGGATACTTAGCTTAGGGGATAAGGTATTCCCTAATTAATATAAACTCATAGAATTTCACTGCAATTGTAGTTAAAAGTAACTGGAAATATATATGTATGTATATATTCCTTTTCGATTCTCCTTGTAAAGACAGAATACAAACATGTTATTATGTTTCTGACATGTACACCATTTCTTGCATAAAACATCTTCATTGACAGAATGCAAACTCATTTTAGATAATATTTAAATATAAAATACTGCAGAATAAGAGAGGTTAATTTTGAGCTTGTGTATTCTGATAACCTCCATTTCCACCATATACTTAGGTATTTTATTTATGTTTTCATGAGTGTATTTTATAAAATAATTTTAAAATGTGCAATTTTGTGAACGAAATAGAGGAAAACATTATTAAAGAGTTCCAAATAATTCTCATCTTTGGCATTATTTTGAATACATAGGGTGTGCAAGGCCGTGAAAATAACAGGAAGCTTTCCCTTCACATTGTCCATGTCCTCCCGGTCTAGTTTGTCCCTGCACTTAAGTAAAATCGAAGCTATTTTCTAAGTCTTTTCACTGACACTGTTAAATACAAATACGCAGATCACTTTAGTCTCTAAAAGGTCATAATTCAGTAATAAATACGATGAGGAGTCTAGCCCATAGCCACATCTTCTGACTCTGGATAATCACATCATCTTCCACCTCACCTCAGCTTAGGTGTTTCTTCTACAGAAGTCTTGTTAGGTGCTGGGACCTCATGTCAGAACCCTGCATTCTCCGGTTCTTGCATCTCAGCACCAAAGAATGGTTACAGGGAGTCAAGGGAGTAAATGAGCAGAGCAGGCGGGTGCAAGCAGGCAGAGTGCCAAGGTTTATTGAAAGCGTAGTACATTCCAGAGAAGCAATGGGTCAACTCCACTAGTGGAGGAGACCCTGACTTAAAAAAGATTTCTTCCTTTAGGCTGATTTCCTAATTTTATGTTAAGGGAGGTGTGTTCTTCATGATTTTTCTTGGAAAAGGGCAGAGAATTCCTGGAATTGGGAATCTTTGTGTTTTTCTATCCTAGTTAAGGCAATTTCTGGGGGTTGCCATGACATTTATAAACTGTCATGGCACTGATGGATGTGATGTTTATTATGTTAATGAAGGCGGGTCATTTAGAGATACTGGTACCTTAACTGTGCACATGTTCCAAAGACTCCGTCTTTTGCGGCCTTGACAATCTCTCTACTTTGTGGTCTTTCTGCCTTTTTTTTTTGTTTGTTTGGTCAGTTCTTGGAAACCCTCTATTGTAGACACATGTCTGCTCAGTCCTCCTTGACCCCTTTGACACATTATATGTTCTTCCTTGAGGGTTCCCTTCTAGTCAACTTGTTCCTTCTAGCAGGCAAACCACCTCCTAGCATCATCTGTTTCTCAATAGACACCTGAAACAAAGCCTCTGATTCCCTTCCTCCTTATCTATACCTAGCATTCTGAATTAGGGAGACAAAGTGTGAGCACTTTTCTTATTTAATGCCGTGTTGCTTTTCTTCTGCACAATAGTTCACTCCTAGTACTTCTTCTTCATTTTCTTATTCTTCCATGGTTGGAGTGAGGATAAACAGGGAGAAGAAGTAGAACTCGGGAAATGGTTAATGGACACTGATCTGAGCTCATGTTAGATCTCTTACTGCTTCTTACTGCCCATGGAGATATTTAAAGCTAAATTTCTACTTGGATTGATATGTTGGCTTTTCAGAGACTTTCCATTACTACAGCTCTGTAATTCCTTAAATATTTCTATCCTCCACTGAGCTGTTCTCAACTTCTGGTTTAAGATATTAGATTCCCCAAATAGATGTCCTCTTTTGGAGCCTTACCAGGTAACTGTCTTAGGAAAAAGTCCTCTGAAAACATATCCAGATCAGTTCTCATTATTGCCTAGGTCTAAAAGGAATATATCTGTTACCCTTTGCCCAGCCACACTCCGAATATGAAGACTGTCTTGTAGATAGAGGCCTAGCTCATCTAAGTCAATCAGATGGTCTGCAGATAGCTTTTCAGCCTTTCAGGCTTCTCTAGGGATGAGTACTACATATGGAGCTAGCTAGTGTGCAAACCTGCCATCAAAATGTCTGGAGAAATAGGCTAAGGTCTCTTCATGATCGTCTGAAACGCCTCTTACTGGGTTGAAAATAAATTAGAATCATTATCTTCTATTGTAACTGCCAAGAAAGGGTTCAGACTAACACAGTACCAGCCATTTCCTCTAAAAACATTGTTACCCAAATTGCATCTTCAACTTCACCCCTTGTACGTAGTCTAAGCAGCTGAGAACCTAAAGATTGCAACACTGATTTTTGACCACTTTTTTACTCATCTCTCCCTAAGTGGTCTGGCAACTCACAGACACAGGAGGTCACAACATCAAAGCACTATTGTCATTACACATCTGGAATTGCATCATGTAATTATCCCATGTGGTGTTTTCCTACAATATACAAAGGATAATAAATAAAAGAGCAGAGTACTATAGCCAATTCATACTTCATATCATTTTAATACTGTCTTAAATGAGCTCATTATTAATTTCCTGTCAGGAAATCACTTCCCCAAACAATGCATATACTTCTGATATAAGCCATTATTAACTCAATTTTATTGACAGCTGGATGAATGGAAGAATATTTTTTCTTATTTCAGGACATAGAGAACTGTTTTAAGCATTTATTTGGAAATAAAATGTACTGAATAATTGTGTATGAAATACATCATTCATTTCAGAATTAGTTTATCTTTTCAAGAGTTTTCTCGGTTTGCACAATTGATCATACATATTTCATACTATTTCAGATTTGTACATTTTTGTATTTGGTATAATTTAGTTCCAACTGTGTTAGTCAATGAATACCAAATACTATCTGGAGGCAAACTGAGGGGAAAAGTGCTTTATCTGGTAAGCTAAAATGTTAGGTCATTAATCATCTTCTCCCTCATCATGGCTTCTGTTTCCACCAAGTCAGATTATTTGCATTCAAGTCAGGCAAGAAGGCCTGCAAGTCACAGCCACAACGGAAGTGTGAAAACTAGGTATATTTAATACTTGATAAGTTATTTCAGTCTTTGTTCCATCCTCCTTCTGGATTCATTTCATGTAGAAATCATGAGATGAGAAAATTATTAGAAACAGACAAAGTATTATTTTCCAAAATCCTCGAAGCTAAGGTTATTTGGGAGGATTCACTCATCTGAGACTGGCAGGCAGAATAAAGAAATGTGATCAAATGGACTTGTATGGACAGTTTGTGTCTTTTAGTTCTTCTTCTTCTGAAACATCCATGATGGATATTCTGGCATTCACATCTTTATTGTCAGAGGCAATTGTTGCCTGGTGGCTCTCACACTAGCATTAGAACTATGTCACTGGTGTTTCTTTTGGCTGTTTCTTGCTATGTATAATCCAATTCTTATTCTCTAATCTACTTCTTTTAATAAATTCTCATCACCTTAAATTACTAACTAGCAATGATAGCAGGCATCAATTAAAAAAGTAGAGCTCCAGAAGTATGTAAATGAGAAATTGGTAGTTTTTAACTGAATGAATTTCAGGCCTGTGAGGTTATGGTTAAAATTAGAGGAGGGACCATACTATTAAAAGCCTTGCTTAGAAATTTGTGATGCCACCTGGAAAGATGAGAGGAAGGATATAAATCTTTTGAAGACAGAGAATCTAACTATTGTATGACTGTTCAGGTCACAGGAAATTCAGAAGTATGGAGTGGATTGATTCTTTCTAATTTTGAAAATTAATG